GGGACTGGAAATCTGAGGTGTACAGGGTGAAAAAAAAATGGAAATGGAAGTACAGCCCCCTGTGATTCTCCACTGGTACCATCCCGTCCACCCATCAGATACTGAGCCCCTCAGCCTCACAAACTGTTTATCAGATAATCCACGCATGTGTGGGCGCATCCTATTATATTTTTTGGAACTTCTCACATACCGTGAAGGCTAGTACAAAACAAAGTATATTAGCATGATTTTCTTAAAACACTGTCTGTTTTCCTCTGATGAGCGCGAGCCGGCTGATTTGCTTAATCACTATGTTTCCATGACTTCCGTGATGTGGAACTTTTCTTGTTTTGTATTGTAATTGAGGGCCAAAGGATAAAACAGTGTCTTATTCTAAGATTATGTAAATCAAGGGTATACAGAGATGGGCAAAATCACTAAAAATAAAGTTTAAATGAATCAAAATTCAAAGATCCTCTGGGTAATTACTCACAGGGGACTTTAAATATGCTTCCCAAGACTGCACAAAGTGATATGTTAAAGTGCTATTCAATTTATAGAGATTTGCATGTACGGTATGTCCAATAGAGGGACATGTCTTATTAAGTGTGTGTTTTGGATTGGACTGGATTCTTAGTATGGAAGTAAACTGGCCAAAATCCTACGAATTACAGGTTTAATAGATTACGTGAGATGTAAAGAATTATATGTTTTCATGTCCACATTGTGGCCAAGTACAGCAATACTTAAACTATTAAAAACTGTCCAAAAAAGTAGCTAATATTTCAAATAAGTTCAAATATTTTGTGTATCCGCAGAGACAATCAAGGATCAACAGCATTCACACAGTGAAAAGACTTTTTTTTTAATCGAATTCCAGCTAAATTTACAGGGGAAAATGATAGAAAATAGAACATTTTTAATTACAAGGCTAAATTCAAAACAAATAACATGCATAAAGTTATCATTTTTCCCTCTCACATTAATGACTCAAGTGCACCTGATGGCAGAAATACTAACGATTTGGAAGCATCTTTAGAAGATTAATGACCTGGCATCACAAGTTTGTGCGTGAGTGTGTGTCTGCGTGTGTGTGTGTGTGTAAATGTACCATGTACTGTTCTTCATCCTCTCATTACTTTCATTCTTCTTTGCAGAGAAAGATGCTGTTTTCATCCTATATATTACCATATTTTCGATCTTAGCGGTGGCCTTTAAATATACACAGACATAGTTTGTGTGTGTGCACATATGCCTTTCGGACATGTTCATTAAGTACACAAACACCTATGACATACCCACGTTCATTAAATCAGCCATCTCTGTGCTCTGTCAGTGTAAATTCTGATTCATGTGGCATTTCCTTTCCTTGGCTTTAAAATACATTTGGTCATTTGTTTGCAAGTAATTGGCTATGGCCTATTCAAGGTAAAGCTCTGCAAATTAACGCTCACAACGCTCAAGTTTTTAAGTCAAAGTCTAACTTTCTTGTACTTCTACCGTGACAAGCTTTTACAGAGATGTAAGTAATCTTTGTATGTTTCTGATCACAACTTGAGCATCATGCATTTAGTTGTCACACAAGCTCTCACTTGCCATGTGTCTATGGTCCAATGTGCTCAGTGACCAGTGTTTAGAAAGGAAACTATAACTAGTTTTATTGATGCTGATCAAGATTATTGTTTACCGAGCCTATTTATTTTCTTCTGTAAGAATATGGAAGAGGGGCTCAGCCACATTCAGGCTTATTTAGTGTCGTAATGTTCTTGCTTTCAAACAAAGAGAGCACAGCTTTTTCTTCCTTAAAGTCACTGATATAAAGTCTGCCTGTGTCTCGCGAGCACAGCTCGTGTCCAATCTAAAAGCTTGATAACCATCTGTCTGATTTTAATAGCAGACGTATGGCTGGTGCCGTGAGGCTTTAATGAGGTTTTCAGACAGGTCTTCAATATAGACGGAATGACAGAGGGAAACCATATGAGTGCCATCCACTTCCCACTCACGCTTTATGGGCAGCAGTTAGCCTAACAGTTCGCTGAAAGCCACACATTTCTGCTTTTCTGTCTTTTCCTGCTCTTACATATGATCTTGATTTCTATATCTTCATTGTTACCCTCTTTTAGTCTGACTTCATCTTCCTGTTGTGAAAAAACGTGCGTCTTTATAAATATTTTTTAGGTTAGTTTGTGGAGAACTTTTTCGGTAAAGTCCTGTATAAACAGTAGTATTCGCAGAAGATTCAGTGCTGATCTACGTGTCGACCAGCAGTTGTTCAGAAGGCGTGGCTGAATAAACACCCAAACCAAGCCCAACACCTCACACTTCATCGCCCCACTGGCTGCCTGCCTGGTCAACTATCTGTTTGGCTACTAAAATCATCACCTGCTTCTGAACAGCTGTCCATGACCAAACACACACAAAACACACAGCTGCTGCATAAAATGGGTACAGGTCCACATCTGCATACGGTTAAACACACACATATACACAAACGCAAACGCACTACGCACACAGCTGCTGGCCCCAGCTGGCGCTCATACTTTGGACTGAGAAGGGAGGCATAAACGTGAACACTGGACGCAGCTGCTTAGCACATGTGCCCACTTCATCAGGATGAACTGTGGGGCAGAGGAGGGACGAAACCGAGGCCTATTCAGTCACACAGAAGATACCCTGACCTAACATGAGGAGAGACAAAAGCTCAGAACAGACCAAAGATGATGGTGTGTGAAAAACAAAGAAACAATGCTATGATGATAACAGAATAAAACTGATTAAATTACAAGCATACCTGGTATCATCTCACCTCCTTTAATCAAATCTATGAGTGGGAAAAAAAAATTTGTTTAATATATATCTTGATTCTGGCCAGTGTCACAGGTTATTTTCTGATAATAATAAAAAATACAAATGGGATCCCACCTCTCACTTCACATTTTCGAAAGCAGGTCGATAAAATTCAAATTTGACAGGCAGGATATCATTCTAATACTCTGAAGGTTTATCTGAATGGTTTCATTCATCAGAATTGTGGCATTTTACATCAAGTTTGTATACAAGCTGCGGCCTAACAATATTTTGGAATGTGAGCCTGTCTGTGAAGCTGAATTTACAGAAAGAAATAGACACCACATGAAAGGACACATGAAAGGATCATCTCTAGTGTGTGCGCGCCAGCTTGATCCCTGTGGGAGAAGAGAAATAGAACAAATAATATAAGCTTACCCAAATACAGTTTGAACAGTCAAACCTGGGCTATGTGCAAAGACTTTTCTTACCAGAGGAAAGATGACAGTTTGATGTTTCTACCCTTACCTCAGTTAGCAAAGTAGATGGAAAATTACCACAACTATGATATGATTTGTTTTTGTTTTACTTTGTTTTTAATTGCAAAACTTTAAACGTGCTACCTGGAGCTTGTTGTAAATGAGAAGTTGTTTACCTGCACTTGGGCTCTAAAATTGTGCGCATATAATCTTCCTCACAAAACATCTGCACATCCAGTTTTGGAAGGTTTGAAATCACTTTTTGTTTACACCTTCTGAACTCGTGTATTTCTTTCAGCAGCGTGCGCAGTGAGTATGGCTTTGACAAAAGGCTTACTTTAGACCTTTGTAAATGCACCAAACATCATGTTATGTTTATCTACTTTCATTTGTAAAACATCTTTTATTCTGAGTCAGAGGCTGCTTTGGAGGAGGGGCTGTTTTCCAACTGACTTGTTTTCTAACATGAATACTGCAAGGAGATAACAATAACCAGGACTTCACAGCCAGAGAGGCAGACAGAGTAAAGTGGGAAAAAATTTCAGTGTGTGATCCTTCCCTTCCAGCGCTGACTTAGAGAGCATCTACACATCATACAATCTGAAAGTACAACTGAGACAAGCTCCCCATCGGTGCCCTATCGCATATTCTCAAAGCTTACGTATTTTGCTCTTTTTGTCTTCCAACTTTCCTGTGCAGCTCAAGCATGCAGCCTCATTTTCCACATTTATTACTAGACCTCTGTAGTTTTTATTTTACCATCTTTCTCTTATTTGTCACTTTCCCATGTGTTCCTCTTATTTCCAAAGCTATCAAACATCCAAACTTTCATTTGTATATACATTGTACAAAATATAATTTAGCACCGAAGGAAAATGCAGCTTATAAAAGCTTATCCACTCACAAGTTCTGTCAGGTGCGAGCATCTGACTCTTGATACTCATTATGATGTCTTTTTTGTGGGTTTTCATGAAAGCATAATGAGCCAGCTCAGAAAACTGGGACATATTAAATCAGGTGCTAAACAGCCCTTTATGTAATATTGAGGCACTGTTTTGACTTTTCATTTTCGCATTACAGCAATTTCTATGGTGCCATAAACCACCCGATGCTCCATCTACACGGGATAAGCATTAAACTCTCATGAAGCATGTAATGGAATTAACTGAACTCCTTCTTGCTCCTCTGATGATGAGACGTCTTACTACCTGAACATTTTGCCTTTACAGTGTGAAAAACTAGGATCCAAAAATAAAATGTTATTATCATCATTGTTATTTCATTCCTTTTAGTTCACTAAACTCAAGTAAAAGCTGCAAACCTTTTCGCCTTACATTTATAAGACGATGGTTAGAGCCATCTGTCATAGAGCCCTTTTCTTTATACCTGTTACATGTCTCGGGCTATTATATGAACAGGAAATCTGACTTCAGTTAGATCCTGTAAACTGTTTGAATTACAGACTCATTACTATAACAGCTCATCCAAATAACCTTAAAAAGATACCAGTTTAACTGAAAAAGGAAAGCCCTAAAAAAACAATAAACCTCAGACTGAGGTGATTAAAAGGTCAGACAATAGTCTTGAAAGGATTCTCAATTATGTACACTTCTACAGGTAAAAAAGACACATCCCATATATTTGGCTAAAGCACTGGATCGGCTTCAGACACTGTAATAAGTTAATCTGTTCTGAGACTCCAAGCTACTTAAATAATTTAGGTAAGATGTATTTTATGTATGCAATTTTTTCACAGAAAACCTTGTTCTCTACCCAACCCTTTTTACCCAGTGGACGTTTCACGTTGAAAAATGGGAAACATAAAGGGAGGCCCCTGAGAGGTATTTTGAGCAGGTGCACCATTTAAACTGTCAGTGTAACATCAGGGAACTGACTTTTTGGGGCTTGTACCCTAACATCATAGAATTATCAACGGGCAGTTGCCAGTATTTGCTAAGTAATCTGAATCATTAGTTGTATAATCTGGTAAATACCTGTTGAATACGTGTCATAATAGTCATTGTGATTAGAGCCCGATATCATGTACACAATTACAAAAATCTGACAAATCCAACATAAGATTGAGACATCACATCAAGAGATCAACAATTGGCATTCATAGGTGCATCTGTCCCAGCAAACATATGCTTCAGTTTGAAAGAAAGAAAATAATAAATAAGGAAACGAACAGGGGGGTGAGATTTTTGGCAGGAACACTTTAGCCATGGCCTAGCAATGAATCTGTTTCTGATGAGTTTAAAGCTATCATACTGGCATTTCACGCAAATTACAATATGCTTTCTGGTTTGTGAGATTGTAGCAGAGTAGGCATCGTCTTCATTTATTACAAACACACAACGAACACATCATATGTACAGACAACAAAGATCAAACATTCCTCAGTAAAAGCACATCATGATCTCGACTTTTCTTTGTCAACGTATTGTTCTCTTTTGAAGCCTTCTCTGCTTTCTGTCTTCACACTTGCTAATTACAGTCCAGTCAGTCCTTTGCAATTTCACTATACGTCTTGTATTCTTCTATTGTGCACATGAGAATTCGCACAGCTCTTATGGACCTCCCTCTTTGGTTCTGTTTTTTTCTGATGTCATGAACTTACTTTGTTTCCTATGTTTTATTGAAGCCATTTTTATTCAGCGATTCTGCCTGAGAGTCTATCATTTTCACTGAACTCACAGGAACAGAGCCTCTGTGAGTTCTGTGTTATCCAGAAACCCACTGTGTACATCACACTCAGAGAAGAGCAGTCAGTGATGCTATAGAGCACTTCTTATTCAATCATGGGCAGCAGTGCATAGCTGTAGCTTCAGACATACCCTAAAACCTTTCTATTCATTAAATCTTCATCTCTATCATGTCTCCCACGTATTCGATTTAAAGGGGTTTTTCTGTGGTTAATCTGTTTCCTTAGCCCCTCCTGTTGTAAAAGCAGATGCCAGCTGGGACAGGGAGGTGAGTAAATCAGTGGACAAAAGGGAACATAACAAAACGTACACACTGGTAATCTGACACTCCAAACAAACAGAATTCCTTGCGGGTATCCTCTTAAAAAATTTCCAGCTTTGTGTAAAGGGACAAAAAAAGGTCTTGATACGGCCTTTGAATATGACAAGTTCACTAATCTTCCTCCAGTCACTCCTCAAATCTTTTCATGTTTCCAACAGATTACGCAAAAAATTGTTCCGTGGACAATTTGGAGAGGATGACCGGAGTGATGCTGTGTCACGAAAGCACTTCTACTCATTCAGTCACTTAACTATCCATGACTACACGTCATGGGAATATATAAATGCAGTCCTAAGTGCTTCTAAATGGATCAGTGCAATCGTGCATGCTAAATATAAATTCTGTGACATTAAAACACTATTTCTGCTTTTATGTATGCAGCCGGAACAAGCCTTTTTTTTTGTACTCTCACTGCTGTGTGGTAACATGTGAAACCAAGTTCGAATCCTCACAGGGACTCACATCATCATCATTACCCTGACAGCAAAATCCATATCAAATCTATAAGTCCATTTTCCTGTTTTTGTTCCTCTCTTTCGTCACCCGACTCCCTTGTCTCCAATAAATAGAGGCTGCACCATGACATGCTATTAGCCGTCCATGGATAAATCATAAAATAGCAATGAAACGCAGAGACAAAAAGTCGATAAGTGACAAACCCTGGGTGGCTGCATATTTTGTTATGCCACAAATTTGAGGAATATCTTGCCCATAGCATCACCCTCTGTGTAACTGTCTGACTCTTGTTTGACTCGCCAAATTTCGTCATCTTTCTCTGCAAATCTCCCTTCTTTGCAACGTTTCTGTCTTTCCGCCTCTCTGTGTGCAGTTTTTTTCATTCTTCGACGTGTCTTTCTCTCTGTCCCTCCGGCTCAGATTCCTAAATCAATCTCTCATTCCCGCCTTCTCTATTCTCTGAATGATTCTACCTCCTAGATTTTTCCATTCATCCCATCCTGTAGGACAAGTGGGTGATGTTGCTCCAAAGTTGGATAAATGTATGTTTAGTAAAGACTCTAATTATCTCCACCAGAGCTCATAGAACAGATAATTACACATAATAAAAAGAGACTCTCTGCCTTCTCTTCTTCCCATTTTCCCCACTCAAGATCATCATTGGTATTATCGATTTCTCAAATCACTTTGTTGTTTACTGGTTCTCATTAACTTTAATGTTTTCCTTGATTGGATCAGTTTTCCTGAAAGGTGTTTGTGAAACTTGTTTGCCCCCCCAAAAAGACTTCAGTTATCTTTTCAAAAGGATGCACCTCAGTACCAGTTGTGCCATCTTCTTATCTGGAGCTACCCTGTATATTAATTTATTCTTCATAAATGGGCCTTATTATATTTGAGTCTTTGTAAAAACTGAAAGACTCTAAGAGAGGATGAAGTCAGTGTAGTTAACAAGCAGCAATAAGAGTTGCAAAATGTCTCCAGTTGCAGAGTGCCTCTGTTTTTGGTTTGTTTTCATATTGGTTTGGCCAGATGAAGCACCATGAATCCTGTTTCCAGTCACTGTCCATGGCCGATGTAATAAAAGCCATATTTTAATATTGTCTATCTGATTCCATCAAGCCTGTTATACTGAGAAATAAGAGTGAATAAGTGCTCCTCAGTGTCACTGTGAAGATATTAGTGGAGATGCATTGAAATTTGTTTGACTGGCAGAGACATTATTGCTCTGTCACATCAGTTACAAAAGACTCTCATGGAGCCAACAGGCCTCCTTCAGCAATAAATATATACTGTCAAATATTTGGCTTTTATATTGGAATAAAACTATAAATATAATTTTATTTACTGATGCACAAATATTATTGAGGGGTTATGAAACGTTTCATAAAGTATTGCTTATTCAACTTTTATTAAAATGTAGATTGTTTGTTGTAGAAATTATTCTCAGAACATGTAATGAGAGGGTTTGAGGCTGTAGGGTGGCAGTGAAAGTATCTGTCAGAACAGCAGTTCAACTCAAAAAGCTTTCCGAATCTTTAACACAATATAACTTCTACAAGTTAAAAAGGTCATGTGACTGATATAGGTCCCACTTCCAAAGTAATGTTCTATTTGGGGTTAAAAATATATATATATATATATGTCTGTCTGTTAAGATTGAAACCAAAATCCAGCAAGACCTCAACTCAGTTTTAGCAAAAAAATTACATCAAGAGACAAAATAAAGCCATCCGCTTGAGAGAGAAAACAGGAAAAATCAGTTTCATGGCTTTAGGTGGAAATATGAGTTCTAAACATTTCCCAATCTTCAACCAGCTGAACTCAGGCACTGCAGCATTGAGAGAATTTACAAATATTATAAAGAAGTTTCATGTGGTATGCTATTCACTTAAGAGTTTTCGTAGATATTTTTCTTCCAGTCCCTTCGTAAAACCTCTGGAGCATCGCCGGGTGAGACAAAGTGCAAACGCGTCAAGCAAAGCTTCTGGGGCTTTTACAGTGAGAGACGGGGTTGGAAAGAGCTGCTGCTTCTTACTCCTGCCGGCTGATCTGTCTGTTCTATGCCGGTATGCCTACCTTCAGATATGTAGTATTGGTATTATCATGAAAAACCTTTCATCTACTATTTTTCATGTGCGGGAAAAGAACTCCAGTGATTTCCAGACAGTGCATGTTTTGCCTTTTTGCTCATACAGATGTTCGTCTGCAAACCTTTCCCCTTTTTACTGCTGTGAAAAAGTATCTCCATCATAAAATCTCCTTGTGTGAAATTTATGTGTGAACAGGAACAATCTCAACCAAACTGTCCACATGTTATCCTGAGCTTACGTAGTATTCATAAAGTAAAACTGCTTTAGGTTTTACTCTAATACTGCAACAGGTAGGGTATCCCACCAGTTAGAGGTCTGTATAAAAAAATGGCAATGCGAATGAAGGGCTACAGACAGGGGAGCACCATGCAAAAGTAAATAAGAAGAAAAATATGGAAAAGACTACAGAAAACCTTAAGAAAGATGAACTGGAATGAGAGTAGGAGGGAAAATTGTATGATGAATTTTTATGCAAGCATCCTTTCATATCTGTCATTTTCCAACAAGATGTCTGATTCTCGCTCCCCAGACAGGTACTCGGTCCCTATCAGATCCAGACCTGTAACTAAAGTATAGATCTGACATATGTTTGAACTGCTTGAGGTGTGTTTGATTTACAGAAATCGGAAATTTCAAGCATGCTTTGAGGGCAAACCAAGATAAGAGACGCCAACATCAACCCTAAATAAAACAACTGATGCCTGTTATTCGGCATATACGCACACACAGTCAGAATGAATCCTGATCTTTGTGGATTATCTACAAATAGCAAAATTCATAATATTGACTGATTCAGCAATCATGACCAACCTTAATGTACTAGACTTAAACACTCACCACAATCTATTAAAAAACTAAACTTCTGGAAGTGGCACATCGAAGAGTGGAAAGAGGGTTCGGCTGTCAAACATCTTTTATAAATCAGATTACAGGTCTTTCCTCAGAGTACTGCGAGCAGAGAAAACATATTCAGTTCCTGATTTTAAAAGCAATGAAAGGTGATTAATTTTCCAGATAAAATGCAAACCTTTACACATGGATTATTTTTAATCCATAAAAGAGAAAAGCCTCAATAATAAGCGTTTTAGTTTTTTTTTTTTTTTCAGCCTTCTCTGCCTCTCAGATCCTTTTGCCTGCTATTTCCTGATTGGACTCCTTTAATATTTGTCTCTACAGGGGGCAGTTACCAGGGATACGGTCGCGGCTACAGCACAGCTTGTGGCTAACTGTTACAGGTAGGTTTTCCCTGACTGATTTTTCATTAAATAGGTATAAAGGGGACTCTGCACAGAGCCACTGAAATGGTCTCAGATTTTCTTAACAAAGTACTTCAAGGTAAAATCCAAAAGGGGAAAAAATAAGTGAAAATCAAGCAGGACAATATGGAGTTAATATTGAGTCTTTAAATTTTTCTTTCAGACATTCTGCTTTTTCTTTTTTCTTTTTTAAGTGAAGAATAAATGTGTTTTGCTTTTGTCGTCATTCTTCATTTTTCAGAGTGGAAATTGTAAAACCTTGACGACAGCATTGCCTGCTAACCCCAATATTGCCCATAGGAGGGCAGCTGACAGGAACGTGCTACGTCCATCTCATGCAGTTATGCCTGCTGCTTCTTTTCAACTTGACCTCAGTGGCACCGTACCTGCAAACATGGCTAATTATATTTGTGGGAGCACCCAACCAAGCTGGAGGTACTGCCATTGTTCAATTTTTAATCACCGTATCTGTCCAGCATGTAATGAAAATCTCCTGCAGATTATCTTTGTTCGCAGATTTCCAATAACCATATGCATAACAATTAGCTGAAGAGATCATCAAAATAGTACACAAACAGTTTACTTTTTGTTTTTCTACATTACACTAGACACCAGCACCATGACAGCATAATCCATGATGATAACTACTCTTACTGCACACACTCAAGATAACAAGACCGATCAATGTTTAGTTTTTGCTTTTTTTCCTGGTGAAAAGTGATTCTAAAAGACAGACTGTCTGAGTTAGCTTTAGGGAGTTAAAAGAGAAAGAAAACTAGGCTCTGAACAAGCACTGCAACCGCTTCAGTGGAAAAACCCAGTAGATTTCTCAGGCTTATCTGTTGAGCAGTAGATTCAGCCCCAATTCCTCTGTATAGTACTCAAAGTCCTGCTGGTTTTATGTCAGGTAGTTAATTGCATTTGCTTGATGTTAAAGGTGTAAAACACTCCTGAGTGGACGGCATAAAAGAAAACCAGCGGGGCTTTTGCTTCAGCATTCAGAATTAAAAGCCGCTGGGTCTCCATAAAACGAAAAAACGCTGCTGTTGTTTAACTTGGAAAGTACCATTTAAATGCGTGTACTTCTTTCTTAATTAAGAAATGATTTTCTGTAAAGAGAGATTCCGAACAGTAACAACATCAGAACAAAATCTCACTAATCTCTTATGAATGTAAGAGGCTTGAATTCTTATGATAGGTTTCTATTTTAGTGGATTATCCATGTAAGTCTTTATAACATTTGTTTATTCCATGTATATGCAGTACATTTGTCATACTGACTTCTGAAGTGGAAAAACTTTGACAAAAACATACTTAAGGATCAAAGACTGTACACGTCAGAACTCAAGCCATCCCTGAAATATCTGACAGGTAATCACCCTCTCATGGGGGTTAGGGTGAACTCTGTCATTAACAAGTACTGTCAAATCAAGTGAATGTTACAAAACTTAAAAGATGAACCCTTCGGTATTATCAGGTCTCAAAGAGCACGCTCCTGATCCACAGAGAGGGGACAGTATGAGAGCTTTTGTCTTTCATTCAAAGATATTGGACATATTAAGAACAGGAAACTGAGCAACAACAAAAACAAAAGAACTGCTGATTGGTGGAGCTACAACTCTGCACCCTCTGTGATGAGAGAACCCTTTAAATTGTTTGATTCAGTCTCTCTGGAGAGCATCATAGTTTGCAGCGTAAAATCTTATCAGCAGAGCTGAAGACAAATATAGTACTTTTAACCTTTGGAATGAACCAAAATCAACACAATTTGCTGTCCAGAGCAGTATTTGAAATATAAAATGTGTATTCCAAACCTTATAATGATGAAATTCACATCATTTAAAAAAATTATTAGGAGCTTTTAAGAATTTTCTGATTCTGGTTGTAATGGAAACATAGTGTTAAAAAGTAAAATGAAAATAGTTTATGTTTGCTGGTAACTTTATGGATTTATGTTTGCAGTATTATGCAGAAATTCTCAGCTCCAATGAAAAAGCCCAGGAATTCTGTAGTCTCAGTCAATGATTGATGAGTCAACAACCCACTTTTTCATGAAACGGTAGAATTTCATACATACATAGTCAGACATCAAACTTTCTATCTCAACAGCATCAAAGAAAAAGAAGTGCAAATAGCTCATTAACAACAACAAGAAACAGACAAAGAACAAACAACAAACTACATAGAAATAAAGAAATGGAGGGTGAAAAAGAAGGGAAAAATCGCAGAACAATGTACTTGTCCTTAGAAATTGCCAGTTTTCTTCGGCCTAAATGAGCATCACAGTAATAAGGAAACAGAAAATTGGCATGTTTGTGAAAAAATTTGAAAGGGACTCTTTATTTACTTCTTTTAAGACTAAGATTTCCAACATCAACTTTGAGACAGAAAAAAGAAGGAAAAATTTGGAAGAAACCAGGGAAAAAAAAAGAGTGAAGAGAAAGAAAGGTACCTTAGCCAGCAGAGAGGATGTCAGACGCTCTGTGGTTGATTTGAAAACTGCGCTGTGCTGTTTTTTGTAGCCCTCTTCTTTGTCTTTTCCTGTCTGGAAACAAAATTTTGAATATGTTTGTACTTCCATCTCCAAGAGATTTCAAATGTGAGAAAAAATAACGTAAAGGTTTACCAACAGAGTTTTGTCTCCCTATGCAGTTTGCAGTAGATACATTAGTGCAAAGAGCAAATGCTAAATTCAGTTCTTGTTTAAGTAATGTCTCACCCTTCACAGTACAGTCTCTATGTCTCTAGAGGAGAAGGTACAGTAACAACATTAATTACAGTTACGGGGATCCTACCTCATACTGCGATGGACATGGGGCTTCGACTGAATTCTTGTTGTAGAAAATGAAGCGGCGCTGAGCGATGGAGCCAAAACCACCCTTCCTGGTTTGCTCTGAAATGGCCTTTCTTAAACTTTCATTGGCCAAACCATGTTCAAATACATTGTAGGAACCTGGACCTGGACAGAATACAGACAGTAATAACCAGTGCCCTTGTTTGTACAAAATTATTTCAAGTGCCTGTCACTAATATGTCTCCAACCCATGCTTTTTGTATCCATGAAAACTTTACACAACGCATCTCATGTATACTGTACTTGCAATTAAGACCAAGTTACTAATCAACTCAAACTGTGACTGAAACTTGGAGCTGAGTTTGACAGTTAAACTCATGTAGCCGTGACATGGACTGATAAAGACACCTATGCTATCTATACCTGTGAAAAAGTAAATTTCATGTAGAGACATGTTACAGCTATTTTAAAATCTGTCTCTTCTGCAGCATAATCCATCTGCACATGTGAACGCCTGCTGTGGGAGAGACGGAAAAAGCACAGGGACTGACTGAGATGGATAGATGTGAAAGAACCAATCTTCCATATCCAGAATCTGGGTTTTTTAAAGAGGAATCAGCAAAGGGACAAATACAGACAAAGTATCTGGGAAATCCTAAAACAGTGGTTTTCTTATGGCGACACAGCTGTTCAGTCCCAGCACTTCACTTTCCTGTGCATTGTGTGAATAAAAACGCCTTCATCATTATTTTCCTTCAATCAGATCTCACCGAACATTTAAGTGATCACCAAAGTAGATCTTTCAGGGATTTTTTTTCCCACCTCATTTCTTCCTTGATGGCCGTGTTAGGTTGCAACATTTTAAAAAACATCCCTCTTTGCAAAAAAATGATTGAGTTCAGAATTGAAGTAAAACTAAAGCTCAATTCCATGGAAAACGTTCAAAGCAACATAAAGCTGATACATTTTTTCAAAAGTAAAAAATCTTTCTCAACTCAAAAAGAGATTCGCCCCTGAAAGATCACCAAAATGTTAGGTTAAAAGAAGAAACAACTTTGAAGAATGCCAGGGCACAAATAAATCTGCACGCATCCTGACCTGGTGCGGCGCTTCTTTTGTGGTCGGAGGAGAATCGCACTGCAGTGATCCCAAATGGGCTTTTCTTCGCTCCTGTGGTCCTTTTCAGCAGCTCCAGGGCACAGCGTGGGTCATTATATGTGCCAACAGGAGGGGACACTTCTTTCTCTTCACTAAACCTCTGCAAGAGGGAGATGAAAAGGTAAAAGAAACAAATCAAGGAGAGTGAGGAGAAGCAAAGGTGATGCCTCGATATGCACGGAAATGTTACATCTGAGTGATTAGCAGCACCTTCCATCGATCAAACACAGATGTGTACTCAACCTTCACCAGAAAACAAAACACAGACAAATCATCAACAGACTCAACTTTGATTATTTTAAGCCTTGTGTGCTTCACTTCGTTTTGAAAGAACTGTGCAGATCAAGAAACTTCCAACAGTCGTGGTGTGTGACGACACATCTGAGCGCACCATCTGATTGAAAAGGCAACGGACATTTATGTGGACAACACTTTTATGAAATGAGGATCTCTTTATTAAATCTGGATTTTTTCCAAAGCGGAGCAGCTGCCTGGACATACCTTATGGTGAAGTCCACTCTAGTTCAAGTCGGAAAATTATATTTAAAACTCTGATCTGATTTGGGAAAATCCATCAAAATTTTTTCAGCCGTTCCCCATGAAAACCAATTATCAACATCTCACGGTATCTGCTTTTAGGAGCCACTAAAGGAACAAAAAATGTATGCAAATTTAGCATGAAAAGACAGAAGGTGGAGTTCTGGTGAAAAAGGGATTATTTAAGCAGTTACAACTACAAAGATACACCAAACACATCTGGATAGTTAGGATGGGTTTAATAGGTCTGGGTCCAGACATTTAAGACCATAATTGCTGACAGAAGCAAATATTCATAAAGCCATACTGCTAGTTCATCTCTGACAACCAAAAGTAAGCAAAAGGTTTCCTTTTAGAAAAGAAAGAGCAAATAAAAGTAAACAGAGGGGGGGGAAGGCTAAATATATGAACACAAAATAAAGAGAAGTGAGTGACACAACAACTGGAACACTAAGTACACAAACACAGCGGGGTTGTGGAACAGAAAATGAGACGGGTTAAATGTAATTTCTATTCAAAAGATAATCACATTCAAGTGTACTTTATTCTTTGACCGTTTTTCTTTTATCAAAGCTGATTCAGCATTACCTGGGAGCATCTTCACAGAACAAATGTATTTTTCTGATTGCCCCTTGCAACAACACAGGCAATCGAGGAAGCAAATCAAAGAACAAAAGTCAAAATGACTGTATGTGAGCTATCCTTTAGCGTAACTCAAAATTCTATGCTGCCCTGGCATCTTAACCTTTCAGCAGGTTGGTTCAGCCAAAGTAATTTGAGCATCAGATAAAACCAAGTTTCTTCAGATACCAGTCAGACCACTAACAAATATATCCCAAACACACACACACAAATACACACAAAATCGGTGCAGCTCCCTTGCTGGCCAGAGCCAGGTCCACAGATGATGTTCAGCTATAGAAATGATCTTCAATGTAATTTATTTTATGGAAGCATGCCAATCATTGATCTGCACTTTCCATTGAAGCATGAGGAAAATAAGTTGTGGGTTGACGAAAATTCAGTTAGTGCTGCGCAGCTGAATTATTGAGCTTTTAAACAAAACGGGGATATTAAAGGGAATGAAGAGAAAGTAGGGAGGTGAAACCCGGGGGAGAGACTGTGAGTAGTGGAAAGTGACAGAGAGTGGAAATATTTGGTTTAGAAATCTAGAATTTTAAGAGAGTTTTCTAGTGTGGGATCAAACCCCATTCTTTAAGTCAGTTGTAAGGCTGGGGTTTGCGGCCATCTGTCAAACCCTCTCTGCCCCAGTGGCTTTGCTAACGTCATATTAATGAGCACGTTTTCGCTCTTAAGATGACACACTGTGCCTTGATGGCACTTCACATAGATGCAGCGTGGATTCTTTTTCAAACCTCCTATTGTTCGTTTGCCAAACAAATATAATAAGAAATGCCAGATGAATGCTTAAGAAGATCACAGCCAAAGCCAAAACCTGTTCTCAATGCAATTTGACACTGACAGTTTGTCTGAACAGCAGTTAATGTGGAATAATGAGGCCACAGAGTGAGGGCACCGTGGCAGCAGCAGTACACTTCCACTTCCTTCTGGCTCCGACAAGCAGGTGGTTTGACTGCATGTAAAGTAAAGTTAGAGCTAAGTGACCACCCTGAGCAGCGCAAGAAAGTAAAGATGCAGGCTGAGATATTTCAGCTTGTATGAAAAATGTAAGCTCATCCTGAGACTGTGTGACTTCAGTTTCTTTTTCTTGCCACATCCTGTGATAAGGTTACTGACCACATGACCATGTCAGCACTAAGAAAATGTTGTGTTATGTGTGTGAGTGTGCATGTGTGCACGCATCACAACAGGTTACAAACACAAATAGGGATAGTCTGTACAAATATTGACGGTTAACATGGCTCCCAGACAGCAGCTGACGTTTGTTCAATGGTGAACAAACAAAAAAAGACTAAAACAGGGGATGCAAAATAAATTAGCACTGATGAAACTAAAGAATCTCTGAAATATCCAGGCAAACAACCACCATTTCATCGACTGGTTCATTTGAATTTTTGTTATTTCTACTATGAAAGGTGAATACTCTGTCAGATCATTTTCAATAGCTTTCATAAGAATTTACTGTATGTACTCTATTGTCATTGAACTTATCAATAACTAATAACGTCACAACAGTTGAGCTGCACACGTTGATTTAAAAATGGATGTAATACATTTCTCAGTGGTAGTATTTGTTTAATCTTTTTCTGTTTTTAGCACCACAACGTGAAGCCCCAACAAAATATGTCTCCTGGAACTACATAATTAAAACTAAATGTCAATCAAATAGATGGAGCAAAGTAAAAAAAAAACGGTTAAATAAAGGGCACAGAAATGTCTACCATAGCTAAAAAAATACAGAGCATACAACAAAAGGGGTGAGAGGACAAAGAAAATCCAGTAAAATCCATTTTCCAAAGTGTCAAACTGATTCTTTGATATTATGATGTTGGGAAATTGGGATATCAAAAGAGGAGGAGAGAGAACGGGAATATTCCAACTGTGTCTGTTATCTCCCCGTCCCCCTTTCTGTCCCTCCTTTACTCATTTAACTCCCCCTTTCTCTGGTTTCCTCTCTGTCCCTCCACAGGATGACAGAGCGCCGGATGGAGGCGGACTCACAGGGGGACAGAGATCTAAGAAATCTGTCCCTGTTAGCGTTGCAGTTGAGATTACTTTTGAAATGTACACGCGTGCACACACTTGCAAGTACTTGGTGGGCATCACTGACGACATCACGGGGTCCACGCTTTTACACTGCATGTGGCCGAGGAAATTGGGTCAGTGCAAACACACACACAAACATACACACTCACACACATCAAATAAACCCTGTAATTTAGTATCAGCTGTTCTCATTATATTCTAGGTTTAATACATTCTAAATATCATTTCAGGGTGAGCATCAGGACTAACTTCCAACCTGCCGATGCATCTATATCTTCCTGCTCTAGTAACTCAAATGTGCAGTATGTCTGAATTTGAATTATGCGTATGGGTGATAATTAAAACATCAGTCAGAATCTGTGGGTTCGTGCTACAGAGGAGGAGAGGAGAGCTATTCCTGAAATGTGAAATTACACGTTTTTTACCCCTTCATCTTTGCTCTTCTGAGCTTCTTAATAAACTCCTCTTCACCCCCAAGTGAAGAAACCATGCAAGCCCAGCACATCAATTAAGCGAGCTAGGAATGGCTGAGTGTCATGGATATATAACTGATCTTAAGTATTTCATAGAAAATTCCAGTGTCTTTAGAGAGACTGTAAATTTTAATGGGGCTCTCCGCTTTAGATTACGTTGGAAAAAATCTAAGTGTGCTTTGTTTTTTCATTTTCAAGAAAAAGAGAAGAGGTTTAGAGTACTGAACGAGGTGAAAAGGTTAAATCGGCATTGAATAGCTAAGTATAGCACTATCAACAGATCAGAATCTGTGGATTGGTTTAGGTACAAAAACAAAGATATAGACTACATGTGGAGTTTATGTGAATCTCATGAAAAGGTTTTAGTTTTGGGTGGAAGCCGGAGAGAACCCACGCACACACAGGAAGAACATGCAAACTCCACACACAAAGGTTCTGGTTCCCCCAGGGACTTAAACCCAGAACCCTCTTGCTGTGAGGCGATGGTGCTAACAACCACACCACCGTGCCACTAAGCGCTAAGTATTATCCTATTTCATTCAATATTAAAGCATCACCACAGTAGCTTTTTTTTTTGCTCTTTGGCTCCCTCTACATTCAGCCAACTATTGCAAAAACCAACCCCATCCTGCACATGCAAGCCCTCCTCCATAAGCATTTTAACCCATGTGGAGGGGGAGCATGCTGCCTTCAGTGACAGACTGGATGTGCCGTACCTCAGACGTGTAGACAAAGGGACACGCTAGCTTCAGGGCTCTGCTGCTTGAGCTGCTGGGCTTCTCAAACTGACCTCTGATGTTGTACTGGCCTGGACCAGGAACACCCTGATGGGAAACAGACAATGTACAATGGACAACAGGTGAAAAGGATGTTGTTAGATGCAGTGTTGTTATTACTTTTCATGTTCTATGGCGGCTTCAAATAAAGAAAAAGTGAAAGTCTGAGGAAATGAAAGAAACTCGAAGGGAAGAAAAGAAAAGGTCTTGGAGTTGCTTTGATTTTTTTCGGTTGCCGTGTTGAATGAAGGGCACAAAGTGGTGAGCAGAAGAGATTTAGGTATTATGAAGATGAACCTAATGAAATACAGAGAAGAGAAAATGAAGCAATCCATGCGTAACTTGTGAAAAGTCGGAAAAAAGTAAAAAAAAAAAAATCCCTTCTCTCTTACTTTGGTAGATTAATTTTAATGAAAAAGCCATCATGACTCATGCAGCTACTGGAAGAAAACACTGAGTGCATTTTGTGCTTTTCAGTCAGAGCTGTAGCAATCATCCCCCGTGGCAACTCATAACTACATTCATTTTCAGAGCAATAATTTGTGTAACAAACCAGCTAACGACTCTTGACTTCCTACTCAGAGGTACACAGTGACAGGTAAGGAAACACTACACTTTCTCATATCCCCAGAGACTAATGCAGACACAAAAAACTTCTGTGTTTGTGATAAATCTATGAAGCCATTAGGCTGCGGTCAGATCTAACCACAGAAAACTAATTTCTCATCCTCAGGATCAGGATGTTACATGATGTATGATGATATACACTAAGGCTTCCACCTTTTCTAAAATAAAATAAGATTTTTTTTAACCCTTTCTGGAATTGCTCTAGTCAATCAGAAAATATTTTCCTCATCTGCTAAAACATGTAGACCTGTCACCCCTTTTCTTCAGCCTGGTCTCATGGACTCATGTACAGACCAATAAAACCAATTAGATTTGCACAAAAATAACAGAGTGGTGTGAGAACATCTTTGTCGTATAGGGCTGTGTTTCAATGTTAAAATGTGTAGGGCATATCTATATTGGCACAAACATATTGTAAGAAACAATGGACTTTGTGCCTTTTCAAACCATTTTTAAACCCATCACAAGTTCAAAGAAAAAACAATCCAAAAGGATGTTCATAAATCAGTCATTTTAACTGATATTTCTTAAGTAACACAGACCTAACTTTGTTTTACAAAGTCTACAAATGCTTTATTACTGGTGCTATTCTTCTTTGTTTACCGGTACTTGTTTGCAGAGGTATACATCACACAAGTGTTTTCTCTGTCATGGTTCTTGCCATGTTGGAAATCTAAAACTCTATAGAATAAGACAGGCCATAACCAATGAGAGGTGCACTTTCTGCCAATCTCCAGAGAGTAAAGGTGTTTGTCCTGTGTGTCCCTGCTGTGTGAAATGACCCATCTGGTCATGTGTGGGAGGTACTAATGATGACAGATGGGGTGTTGCCATTACGTTTGGGATGTCTGAGAAAAAACATTGTGGAGATATTAAAATGATACACAGGTGAAGTAGCTGATTCAAAGTCACTGAACAAATCGAGTTAGAAAATATTTTGGTATTTCTGCAGCCATATATTATAAAAGGAGAGGTAGGACACATGCATTAAAATGTCATGCATAATGAATGCAGCACAGAAATATAAACTAGCAGCCAGGAGAAAAGAGAAGGAAAGTCAAAATAAGAAAAAACGCAAAACCCAGTGCTTTGACAAAAGGACACATTCACTTTTCCTCATCAAATCCGCCCCCACATTTTTGAGACTCACCAACTTAAAGACTACTGAAATGAGCATCACAAGGAATTACTCTGCCAGCACAGCTAAGTTCACATGCAGGTGAGAAACTCTCTTCCATTCATCGCGCTCTGCCAGTGGGTAACAACAGTTTATGTTTTACTGGCCTCTAAGAGCAATAACATAAACTGTTAAATATAACTATAAATCAAACGGACGCTCACTTTTAATTTATCGCACTCAAAGAAATTGTAATATTGAATTCTAGGAGTTTTGATTCTGTTATCTAAGAGTGTTTTATTGCACAAGCCCTGTTCCAGAAAAGTTGAGAAAAATGCAAATATAGTTCTGGAACTTATAGCATTTCAAATGTAATTTGAAAGACACAACGGTACAACGGAAACTATCTATAGTGTCTTCTGATCAACTTAGATCAGTAGCAGTAGATAGTGTTGGACGAAAAAAGCTTCCTGAGGTTTTCAGGTCATCCATGAGGCTCAATAGATCATAGAGGCAGAATGGTTGATCATGTGGTGGTGCCGGAGACCACATGCAGGCAACAGCGGCTTCTGAACTTGGCTCACACAGAGAGATCTCGCCATATTCCTTTCATTGTGCACAACATTAGATACTACAAACGATGAAAGAACTAAATATTTTAAAAATATTATTTTTATTTTTACACTGAAATGTGATGCGACTTCTCTGACCACGTGAATAAACAAGTGGTTACACCCCATGTTTGCTAAAGCTTCCAGAAATTGCACTGATGTTATGTTTTTTTATTATTATTATCCTTCCCCTTTTTCTATTTTGTCCGCATCAATTTTTTTCATTTTTTCTGCATTTGACAAGGCTTTATGATTTTTCTGGAACTAAGGTTTGGGATTGTAAAATAATCACAAATTATCAAAATGAACAGAGTTGGATTTACTCTTTACTTGAATGCATCCAAGACGCTCAAAAAATGTACGCCAACGGTTGAATAGTATGTAAAACTATGTTCCTTGAATAATTGAATGGTCATATTGTGCCACTGGCCACCATTCATTAAGTTCTTCCTCCCACTCACCTTCTTTTCCTCTTTCTGGGGAACCAGCTCATGGTAACGCGGGATGACAAGCTCAGCTTTAACTCTCTGTTCTTTTGGAAGATTCACATTGGCATAGTGGGTTTCTGGGATACTGTTGGAGGAAAATGCAGTTGCAAGCTTATTCCAAAAATTAAGACATGAACGACACAGCAACGATGTCCAGTGACCATCGTACGGTGTAAGACACATGTACCCCCTTCTCTTTTTTTCACAAATCAATTCATTTATGAACTACAGAACTGGATGTGTGGCCACCTTCATCAAAGTGCTTAGTAAGTCCCAACCTCCACAACCATCAATAGAAAAGCTATGTGGAAAATGTCAAATATAATGCCCTGCCTGTGGTATCAAGGCAATATTTCACTTGGTGAAACAGCTTCTTTATTCAGAACACATCTCAACAAGAGCTCAAGAGCACACACTTCACATCATTAGATGCCCTGCAGCATCTAATCTAACCATTCTTTGGCCCTTTGTATGTGTTTCAGCGCGTGTGTTTATGAAAATCATATTTCACATACATGCATTTCTAGGTAGCCATAACGTTAAATCAAATATCAATATTTCAGAATATGTTATATGATGCTATAATTTTGAAAGGTTTCCCAGATTAATTAAATGCAAATATTTCTTTTGTTTGAGGAAGGGTTTTGAATATTTTGTTTTTAAGATTTAAAACAGAATAGTTCTTTGTTTAAAATCCTACATACCCGCAGAAATGTATTTTTAATTTAATCTAAAACAGACAGCTCGTAGCAACAATTTAACATGTAAGCACAATTCTTATATTCATTCAACTATCCTGAAATAACATGCAATACTTACATCTCAGGATAATACTGTCCTGGACCTGGTCCCACCTCCACTTTCAAGTCACCTCTCCTCTCTGTCATGTTGCCAAAGTGCACACCTTTATACTTCTGAAAAGTCAGCTCATACTGGAGACACAGACAGCAATGAAGAGAAGACAAGACAAGAGAAGAGAAGAGAAGAGAAGAGAAGAGAAGAGAAGAGAAGAGAAGAGAAGAGAAGAGAAGAGAAGAGAAGAGAAGAGAAGAGAAGAGGAGAGGAGAGGAGAGGAGAGAAGAGAAGAGAGACGAATATAATTAAATGAACAAAGAATTAGAAGAAAGAATTGTCTCATTCACACTTATCTGTTTTTTTTCCAGCTCAGTCTCAAGAAGTTGGTGCTAAAAGAAATGTGAGGTTCAGACAAATGCCACAGTATATCAGAGATCTAGGGGAAACCTCCGTCTTTTTATATCTCTTTGAGTTTTACAGCCTGCTTCCCCTGCCTCTGGCCTTTCAGATAGAACCCCTCCATTTTCAATCGTAACAACTGAGAGAGGCTACTCTGGATATGAGCTGCCCAGCGGCCCCTAAAGACATCTTAGAGATCCTATATATGAGATTTACTCACAAATTTAGTGGCAAAGATCTAACTTAACTTCCTTCCTCTGTCTGCATGAAGTCCCATCTGTAGCTCCAAACTGCCATTACTCAAAATTATCTTTTTTTTTTTCCATCTATGCCTTTTCAGCATTCTTCTCTGATGCAACAATGTGACGGAGGATATGGGGTGACAATCAATCTTTAGAAGTTTCTGATAAAATGTGGTGCCTGTCCCTCAACATTAGCTGTGACTAAAAGGCCAGGTTTGATGTTCTGCACAGCGGGATCCTCACATCAAGTTGGGGTGATAAAACAAGATTGTTCCGATTCTAAAAGTTAGAAATAAATCACAACTGTTCCGCGCTACATGCAGACTCATAAACTGCAGCCGTATCACAGCTGGAACCTCGTTTAAAGACAACATTTTTCCTCTTAAGATCAAGGGTTTCTTTTAATAGTGAAACAAAAACACGGCAAGCTGATCTAAACATATTCATTCTGCTCTGGTAAAAGAGAGTAACGGTTCATGTGTTCTTAAAATGAGGATGTTAAGTGGCATAAAACGTGTCTGTTGATTTGTGTCACGTTTGGAATGAAACTGCTGCCACTGGTTTTAACAGATACAGGACATACTGTACAAATCACAGCAAATACGGAATTATGGGGCCTATATCGTATAATATCTGACGGGTAAATAGATAAAGGACTCGTGTTTACTGCAACAAAGCCTGAGGACGGAAACAAACCACAAACAAACCACTCATATATTGTACTACACTGACAAATTAAAAAGAAAACTGAGGCACTGTGAACACAGATCAAAAGTTTCTTGTGTAATTTGTTATCTGTGTTTCCATGACGGTTAAATCAACTATGACTAGAAAATTATGTAGACAGAAAAGTGTGTGGTAGAGAACTGCTGTAAAAGCCATCATTTCTAAGTAGATTTTGGTGCGTCCACTATCATGACCACAGCTCAGGCAATGAGTTTTGCCAGTTAAAGAGAACTGAACAGCATAATAAATTAACGATCACAAGGAGGGAAATTGTTTAACTGCATAAAGAATCAATAACATAATTATCTATATATACATTTATTTAAAAATAAATATATATATATATATATATATATATATATATATATATATATATACAAGATGTAGCCATTAATCATCAGAACGAGCAATAATCTAACTTTTTTTACTGTCCTCTTCAAAGCTGACTCAGATGTTCTGTCTCCATACAAAGACACTGTGTTTATCATCTGGCAAGCTCTATAATGAGAGTCTACCCAATCTATTACCCAACAGTCTAAATTAATCAAATATATCGTAGTCACAGTTTCCAAGTTTTGCATTTTTTATGGATATTTTTACCTTACAGCTACCACTTACATCTGCAGCAATAAATTTAAGTCAATATCAGCCAGTTACTCCAGCTTTTCACCTGCCTATAAATCTGTTGTTCCATCAATAAGGACATGGGCCATAGATTTGAGGTCAGCGGATAAAACAGATTAAGTTGTTTTTGTATTTCTCAATAACAGCCAGACATAAAAAAATAAAAACCTCATGTTCACTAGATTCCCATCTAATGTCTTATCATTCAAAGATTGTCTCTACTACTTTGAAGTCGTGTCCTCAGACAACTACTTAATTCCTGCTTTCTACACTTTTGAACTCAGTCAGAGCATGGGACAGGGGAAGTGTTTGGGTTTAAGGAAAGGAGCATGTCAGCGGGATGAATAGAAGGAAGGAGATAGACAGAGGCAAAGGTTGAATTTTCAAAGCGAGAGCAACAGAAGTTGAGAGTAGAAAAAAAGAGGGAGAGACAGAGAGACCTCTGGCTGGACAGGCTGCTGATAGCCCTAAATCACTGCACGCCTCTGTGCCTGTGTTGACACAACCACAGCCACCACTCAAGGACACTGTTGACTTCCTCTGGTTATTAACAGCTGAAAAATGACTTAATTGAGAGCAGGACCAGCAGGTGTGTGCATGATTTTAAGTGAATATTGTAATATAGTTTGAGGAATAATTACTAATGCCCTCTTTGTTGGCATATAAAATGGATGAGCATGGGTGGACCGTGACTTTTTTAAGTGGAGTAGCATTCATTAGTTATGGAAATGGGTTCTGAGCCAACTGAATGAGGTGCGGTGGGGGTCTGGTACTACATTAGGTCTCCCAAACACTAATGGACCTCACTTCATGGCAAACTAAGTACACTCAGACACATACTCATACAGATAAATGAAATCAGACATGCTTGCAAAAATTACTGATTCACAATCCCTGATGGATGCACATTTAAATTTTACCAGGGCTGTGTATGTGTGTGTGTGTGTTTGTCCTTACCAGTGGCAGATTGTAGTAGGCTGGCCCCAAGGTTGTGTCCCTAAGAGAAAGCTGCTTCTGACAGAGCACACCCTCCTCATTCTCTTCATAGCCAAAGGCCTGGCCCGGGGAAGGAATGGATGGGATATGTGTCTGATGAACTAGCTGGAGACTTTTTGCCTGCAGCCAAAGAGAAAGGCAAAAGAATGGCAGGGAGAAGGAGATAAAAAGTCAGGGTTTCTATTAGGAAAAAATGTCCTCTCTTACAAAGGAGCTGAGCAATGCCTGAGGCCAGTTTAGTTAGAGACTGAAAGGGCACAGAGGGAAGGACAGACGGAAGTTTAAAATAAGAGCTGAAAGAAGATGAGGAAGATGGAAGACAAGATGAAAGGACAGAAAGTGCAACAGGGACAATTTCCACCGAGGGAACATGCACAACGGCCTCAGTAAAAAGAGTATACGGCTACTCCTCTTTCTTTTAACAGGTGGGAACAACATGCCTGTGAGTGTTTTACAATTAGCCTACAGACCTTTACTTATGTTTAGTCGGATCACAGAATCAGGATATTAAAGTGGTAGACTCCTATTGTAATACCAATGAGAGCCATTGGCATTCAGTTACTTTTGATGTCCACTCAGGAAATGTCATATTCAAAGTTTGTTGGTCGTTGTGTTATTATTCAAGGTCACTCTATTAATTTCATAATTCACGCTATTTCCTAAATTCCCATCCCTGGTATTCAATGAAATGGTGAGCTGAAATTGTTTGCGTGCTTTTTCTGCACACACTTTTTAATCCAACCAGATATTAGCTTTCACTTCAAAGTTCAAATCTATACAAGTCATAGTATTTAAAACATATTTACATTCCCCTTTACTTTTCACACATATGCCTACCATTAGTCTGCCAAGCCTCTCAGGCTGTCCTACATTAGCCTTCATGGCACTGCGCACATTTCTGGAGGGAGGCAGCACATTGTAGGCCCCGGGGCCGGGAACCTCTGACCTGACCTCCTTAAAACGCTTGGAGCAGTTCTGAAGACTTTGGCCACCATGGATATTTCCCTGAAGAGAGGAAAAAGCAAGAGGAGAGGCGGAGAAGCAAGCAAGGTAAAAAATGAATACTCGAACAGCAATGTATGCTTCCGTGCTGTCACAAAAATGACTGCAAAACTCAGAAATGTCTAATGCAATATCATCCCGTTGTTACACAGGCGCTGTCTCGTTCCAATTAAAAGGGAAATAAAAAGGTTCAAAAGTTACTGATATTCAGCCCGAGTCCCAATCCGTTGTCCTCAATAACAGACAGACTAAGACAGACTATGATACATCTAATTTAAGACAGACTGTGGTTTTAAATGAAAACTAAATCACACCTGGACAGGTGAGGGGTCATACTCTCCAGGCCCTGGTGTTCTCTCACTGGAATTACTAAATATTGACATCCTGTCGGACAACGACAGGAATGGAGCATATCCATCTGCAAAAGCAACACAAAAAAACTGTATGTAGGTTGTCTGATGTATAGAACAGTAGATAACAGGCTGCATCTGTCCATTGAATCATGGTGACATAGTTGTGTTTAGAAGTATTGCAGGCACACAAAATAATGGTATTTTTTTGTTATAATTGTCTACGTTCGGGTTTCTTGTGAAAGCTCTGCTGTTATTTTCAACTGGATCTTATCTCACAGTTTTGATGTCTTTATGCGAGGTTGCTGGAACAACTATTGGTCTTATGCTATGACTAAGGTTTTCACAGCACACCCAAACGTTCCTGTATGTTCCATTCTTTTTTGAGAGCAGAGAACAAATGTTTAAGCCAAATTAAACCCTCTGACCCAATGGCAAAACGGTGTCATTCCCCTTTGTTTCTAAATTACAACAATGGCAGCCTAAGTTATTGTGCATTTTCAGCCTGAATGAGACACAGTGTTGCCCCTGACATCTCCATGGCAACTTCAACTGTGAATCTAAAAAATCATAGCTAATAGATATTTAGTCTTCAACACATTCTCTCATTTCTTCTGTCAACATACATTTGTATTGTCCAATTACATTTTTTTAGAGTTAGCAAAAAGCCAGGGTCCTTTTTATCTTTTCTTCTTGCCTTCGGTTTCAAGCAGTTTGCGCTGGTTTGCAGTTTCTACTACCTTCTCTCCTGCTGGTTGGGCTAACATCGTAAGATCCGGGGCCAACAGTAGACGGAGCACCGCTTGTTGCCGCGAAGGTCACTCTCGGGGCTCGTCCGTACATTTTCAGCTTGTTCAAAACAGCTTGGTAACTTCTCTTTAATTTACATAGAACAGTCTCATTTTAATTAGGTGTGGTTTCCTGCTGAATTAATCTCCTCTAAATGGATGTCTACCTGCCCCTGACCTGTACTCTGTTTAAACAAGTGATGTGCGGACTGATACTGAACTACGGATTCCTATGATACCAGATCTTCAAATCCATCTGTAATTCCAAATATCTATACTTCTGGCACTTCAGTAATTTGAAGCAATGTATATCGTTTGCAAAAAACAAAGTGGAAAGTCACCAAACTGTTCAAATCTAATCTTAACGATTCGCGATGGGTGGAATCTACTTTTTCCTCCGCCTGGGTAAGTGCGGAACGCGTGCGTGCAGCGGCTCGCTGCTGCCATAGACATATATACTGTTCGTATTTATGTCTATGGCTGCTTCAGAGACACAGCGGCGGAGCGGAAACGGAGCCGTGCCTGGAGCTGCTCCAGCCCCAGAAGTTAGTGGGGAAACAGTGGGGAGTTGTGGCAGCACACAACAAACCTTGCGAAACATCACAGGTCAAACCATAACTCGGAAGGCGAGGTATATATGATGAGGCGGGCCTAAAGGGAGAGCTCAGGATCAGGTGGAGTCCTGAGGCATCATCCAGGCACACAGGGACGAGGTGTGGAGCTCAAGTTTTAAAAGGGTTACGAAATAAGAAACGAAATGAATGGACTTTTCACCCAGCTGCATGAGTTTATGTGTGCCATTGAGTTGATCTAAACAGAAACGCCTAGATGTATTCAGGTTAAGTTTCCTGAATAATTTATCATCCGGTGGATTACTGGTGTCAATTACGATAAAACAGCCATGGTGAACTTTGAAATATAGACAAGATGGATATGGAATAACATTTTAACTGTTAATAAGTACAGTATATATATTAACCACGGTCAGTCTAATTTGAGACTAAGAGACAACAAACATAGTTGCATCTAGATGATATTAGGCATTCAGTGCAGAATAGCCCCATTATTTATTTGTTTTGCCCTGTGATTTAATTTTTATTTATATATATATTGTTTGAAGATGATTCCCAGGAGCAACAACACTCACAAGATGTCTCAGAGAGATGATTGTGAGGGATCTCCAGCCTCTGTCCATCATGGAACTCTATGGTTTGTGAGAATTCCAGACCCTAAATTTAAAGTCCCTCTCAGATGAAAAGCCTGTTTCAGTCTCAAAAGTGATTGTGTCACTCATTCTCAGGGCTGTAACAGCCTGTGAACTTCCAGGCAACTCCCTCACCACACAACTGGTGCCACAATGTCAGATCTATCAGTATCTTATCAATATTGTCGGTAACAGCCAGTGTATCAGATACTGTGAAAAACGCAACTGTTACTGCACAATTTGATTTGGTATGATTGATTTGGTTTGATTCAGAATGTATTAGCGTCCCTGTTTGTTCATACTTGGCACATAAGCCACCCTTCAACTTGTTTAATGTTGCTATTAAAATGTTTTCTTAGATTTGTAAAGTGAAATTCATAATAAAACATTTGCCAAAACTGACTAAACAACTTGTGTGTCATTTTGGTTATGATCAAACAGCAAAAATAGTCCAACTATACCATCTAGTGGATGTTTAAAGTATGATTGACAGAACATTGAGGATGATCGTTCATATATATTAATCATAAGTAGTCTTCTTGGACTGAAAGAGAATTTGTAAATAAACTACATATATTTCTTCCTAAATTTAGTCTAAAACAGATTTGAAAAAATAAACCCTGTGTCCTTCAATGTTTGTTTTTGTTTTTTGTTTTGTTTATTTTTTTTTAATCACATTAATTACTAGTAAAGCAGGATTTCTGTCAACCCCAGACTTTTTATTTTTCAATTTAGTGTCCTAATTTAAGAGTCTGGTTTTAAAGCTTACATAGCGTACGGGGGTAATGGGAATACCCCTGTGAAAATCTTATTTAGTGTGAAAAAAGACTGGAGATTTGGAAATTGTCTAGAGAAAAGGGCAAAGAGGAGTTAATTACTTCACCAGCAGATGTCAGCAAGAAGCCACAAACGAAGCCAGCAAGGCTCCAATTCACACGAGGATGAGTGGTGTCCTTAAGGATGATAGGAAGGCAGAGGTCAGCGATGTTAACTTTCTTTTTAAAAGCAAATCAGACATGGTATTGGGGTCAAGATTCCTCTCCAATTATATCAATTGCATATAGTATTTGTTGAGTTGCGAAATTTATCACATTTGTAAACATACACGTTAATACAATTTTGTCAAAATAAATCAGTCTGAAAACGTCAAGTGGGTTTTGTTTACAGAAATGTATATTTTTTCGTCGGCAGAAAAGTCGTTTAATGGCGAAAATGATGTAAGGACACCGTTGAGCTAACGATTTCCGCCTTTTCAAAGATAGCCAAAACAGGGCGGGGAATGAGATATTTCCGAGGCGTTCCTGAAGGCAACAGGGACTATCACCACCACCACCTTCAGCCTGTGTCTGTCATCCTCCTAGCAAGGTGTCACTTTAGGCAGCTAGCCATCTGTTTTGCTTTCAGTTCAATTGTACTTTTCAATTCACACTTGTTTTTGACATCTCGGATATTGAGTTGCCATGAAAGGGACCAGGTTTTTCGCGATTTTTTTGGTGCTTTCCGCGTCTTTGCTGTGCACAGCCGAAGCGGCCAGGAGCAGAGCCAGCAACCAGAACAGCTTCCGACGGGCAGCTAGCGGCATCTATCAGACCCTCAGCAGCGTTTTCGGGGAAGACAACATCAGAGGGCTATACAAGGTGAGTGGGGGCACAAGACGGAAAGAATGCGGCCGGTTTGGGTCAAGCAGCAGTTGTCCGGACGCTTTGTGGTCTGTGCATGTCGAAGAGGAAAGAAGCGCGCCAGGGCCTGGTTAACAATATCATGGATGCCATTTTGAAATATTAGCCTTCATTCTTTGGTTCTCAATCTTGAGAAAATCCGAGTGCCATGAGCGTTGCTGTGGACTTAGAGGGAAAGTTGCTGGGATTCTCGTATTTTTGTTTTGTTATTCTAGGGTGTTACTAAATGTCAGTTTTGGTGTGGGTGCTTTTAATCAGCTGAAATAAGTACCAACCTCATTGGTCCGCGTAATAACCGTTCCTTTTTTTTAAATGAACACTTCTGTTTCTTTCACAGCAAAACTGCTCGTGAATTAAAGTAATTAATTGGTCCAACTGCATTTCCTGCTGTTTTTAAAAATAATTCCTGCGTTTGGCCCTCAAAGAAAAAACTGTAACATATATAGGAGTCCAGTGAAATGATTAATTTCCAACCTCGGTTGCAACCAATACAATTCCGAACTGTTCACATCTTAATGTGTAGACTTCGGCTGTGTGTCATAAGTAGTGCCTCGTGTACTCAGTTTCTGCAACTTCCCTTACATGCACTACTTCCCTTAGAGGTAAGAAGTAGGAAGTACATAAACTGTGTATATATGCAATACTATGAATATTTATTTTAATGATGAAAACATCCTACAAAATATTGTGTTAAATACTGTAAATGTTCCAACGCTCTATAACTACAATGATATTTTTCATGACATCATCAATTAAACATTTTGCTCTCATCCACCCCAGAAAAAAAGAACTCCTAAAGAGGCTGTCAGTGTTTTCGTTTTCCCAGCTTCCCATGCACACAATGATCTTAAAATGGATCAAATTAGGCAGACCAACCCCACATCTTTCTGTTTTTTCTCCCCAGTTTTTCTCCAAAACAACAGAACGGTTTGTCCATGGAGTGGACTCCTTCCTGGACACGATCTGGAAGATCTGGTCTGACCTGTTGGATGTTATGGGCATCGATTGTAAGACTTTTTTAATACTTTTTAATTAGGACAGAAATTCACATATTTGGAAATGCCCTGGAATATCTTATTAACCGTGTTGCTCTTTTCTCGTCCCTCTATGTAGCCTCAAACCTCACCCACTACTTTAGTCCCACATCTCTGACCAACTCTCCGGCACGGGCCCTGCTCCTGGTTGCAGCTGTACTCTTGGCCTACTGGTTCCTGTCTATGTTCCTGGGGGGGTTCTTTTACCTGCTGCACGCTGTCTTTGGACGCTTCTTCTGGCTGGCGCGTGTCATGCTCTTGGCCCTGTCCTGCCTCTACATCCTGCAAAAGTTTGAGGGTGACCCCGAGCGCGCGGTTCTGCCGCTGTGCTTCATCATGGCTGTGTACTTCATGACGGGCCCGGTGGGAGCGTACTGGCGCCGAGGAGGCGGGGCAGGCTCACTGGAAGAGAAAATCGACCACCTGGACACTCAGATCAGGCTGCTCAACATCAGGCTGAGCCGTGTTATAGACAGCCTGGAACACACCGGGGACCAGTAGACTTCGCTGTAAGCTGCAAAGAGGATGCGTTTGGGGGAAGCGGGTTGGGAACACATCAGGTGTGTTTATCAACACAATACGGTTTCCTACACACATCTGCAGAAACACAACTACTGGATATGTACAACCCGTCCTTGCATAGGGCAACAACTAGATTTGAAAACCGGTCTTTTAAATTCTCTAGTCAATTTTTGGTAACACGATAAGTAGAATCCTCATAGGCAAGGACAGTTGATTTAGAGTTCACATGAATGAACCGAAAATGTATTCTTTCAATTATTCCTCGAGGATTTAGAATTATTTTTTATTTATATCTATATGTGAGAGGAGTTAATTAGTTTTTATAGGCGTCTGGCCTGATTCTTTGAGAAGCCTTCTTATCAGTCACTTTTTTCTCTTTTTTTAGTTTGGTTTTGTTTGCTGAGGTACCGAGAACACCTGTGCTAATTATCCTTTTCATTTTTCGTCCATGTAAATAACCTTGAGGCAAAGTTTTGTTTAAAAAAAAAAAAAGCTTTTTTTTTTTTCTTTTTATTTGAAGGGTACAGGAAAAAGAAAGGACTGGGCTCTGTTACATAACTGGGGCTGATTAGTTATGTGTGATGTGTAAAATCTTTCAAGTGTGCAGATAGCTATCCATAGTAAGATTTATTTATTCCATTTCCATCCAGAATGGGGAAACGCATCTGTCTAGTTGGCTTCATTGTGTCAACATTCCATTGTAATCGGAGTTTTACATCAGGACCTCATTTTCTCGTGTGGATGCGTGAGTGCATGAGCAAATGCCTCTCAGAGACTTACTCGAATGTGTGTGGGGGGGCGGAGCTTTTGAAGTGGGAAAGTGCTGTACTAAGTTAACATTGGAGTTGGAGAAAACTCAGAAAGCCAGCAATATCTCAGGGACTCACCCAACACATACAGTGAACTGAAAGGAGATAGCACTTCTGTTAAAATCATGTCTCTCTGCATTTTGAGCCTCTTTTTCAGTTCAGATGTGGGTTCAGTTTTTTGCCCTCTGCCTCATATAGCACTAATTTTGCCGTGTTTTATATGCAAAGTTTGCTTCATGCCTGACGTCTAAACCAAATCCAGCTGTTCATTCACCACCCTGGTGAATTCTTGTAGAGATCTGAGCTTTAAACTGGGAAATGGCATCTGGACATCAACATGTGTGAAGCAAGCCTGTGTGCGGAGGGCACATTTGAGCAGAGCTCGTGTACAGCACCCTGCTATTTACCCTGATTATGGAAACACATTATTAACCTATGCTCGCATGTGATAATGCAACTTACCTGTATTTCAGCAGTAGTTTAGAAGTGATAGTTATGTCATACAGTGTAACAGTTTTAAAGGAGAAATTGTGGGCATCCTCGCTGCTTTGTTCATTCGAAAGGATTTTCTGTATGTTCAGTATTTCTGCTGTTTTACTCTATCATGTACTGTTTTGATGAAACTGGCCTTTCTTTATCAATATTGTTGCTCATTTTTGTGGTAGCACTCAACCTAATTTTTGTCAAGGTTTGCCTCATGGGAGGGATACAGGTCAGTAAAGTTGCCGACATGGCGGTTTCGATTCCGAGGGTCCAATGGGAAGATTTTCCCTTTTTTTTTTGTGCACTTCAGTGGCTAAATTTAGTTTCTGATTAGACTTGCTGTGTTGCTTGTCATTATGGTCTAGAAATAAATGCAGTGCTTGCTAAATTCACTGAAAAGATTACTTGAATTCATCTGTTTGTGTTAGTCTGGGATTTTGGGATTTAATTCTGTGTTTTTTAAATATTCCCAGTTTGTCTCCCTCATTAAAACAACCCATGTAGCTCATGCACGTTTTGCCATATGGGATTTTATAGCATGTCTTTTTTATGCCATCACATTAAAAAATATTCCATGTTGTCGACTGAGTAAGGAGACTTAAGCGATCGTTGTGATGAATGACCCAGAAATGACTTTTATTTTGTATTGTATTACTGTAGGGTGAGTTTCATTTGCTTTGATTAAAGAACTCTGTAGAGCACAAGACCATACTGGTCTTTAGGAGTATGAAAGTATATTTAAACAATCTTCTGTTCCTATAGTAACTGCAAAGCTCTTTGTCGTCGGGTCTGTTTTTGCATGAAGGTGCAGTTTAAAATCTGTATGATTAAAGAAGTGTTTTTCTTTTAAAGAGGGGGCACTAACTTTAGAGAGGCTTTTTGTTCCATAAAAATTCCACAGATTGGATTGTATTCTGAGTATGTTATTGGTAGAAGATGTTAGGTGTAGTGTTGTTGAAGGGTGATGTAACCGGCCTGGTGGAAGACTGCTGAATTCTTCTCAAAGTGCACAATTAAGTGTGATACTGTACTCTAACTGATCTTGTATTTTAGAAACCGTTGAAGGAAAAATGAAAACGCTGAAGTGTTCGAGAGTGAAACATCCTTTGAGAAATCATGGTATAGATGGCGAATGACGTTGAAACTGCCTGGAGATGTATTAATGTGCAACTTAGATGATGAGTGTCACCTCTAGACCTGTGGCATGTGACTGAATGCTAAACCTTACTTAGACCATAGCTATTCTTTCACCTCCAGGCCACACAATTACTTGTAATGGTATTGTTCGTTGTACTGTATTCTTATTCTATCATTCATAATAGCCTGCTTTATTTTATAAGTGTGCCAATGTTGTTGGTTATTTTTATCACTGTATTTCATTTCATTGCCTTTTCTTTTTTATTTAAATGTTCCTGTACTTGAATGATGTGGTAAGAGCCCAATAGTTCAGCCTGCCTCTGAGTGTCTTTACCAGAACCTGTTTGTGGGGAAAATGGCTCCTGTGTCCTTGTGAAAATGAGGTCTAGATTTGAATAAACTTAGCAGTATGACTGAATGTTTTCCATTTCCTCATCATCCTTTAATCATTTTAAGTGGGGGGGGGGTGAAACAAGATTAGTTTTTTTTGTGATCAAGTACAGACAAAACACAGCAGTCATCAGTGATCTGTGTCATTAGGTAAAATGGTTTCATATCGCCTGAGCAATCACCACGGTGCTAAACACTCATTTTGTTGCATTTTTATAGCATGTTTTTGAAGTACTCTGTCCCTCTTCCAATATTTCTGGAAGTAGACAGCATTGATACACTTGGGATGACAACGAGAAGCCCTTCGTAACGGTTTGATACAAGGCTGTGAACACAAAAGGGCTCATTAAGGGCACTAATGAAAAGTATTTCTCCTATTCTGTTCAGTGCAATGACTGCTCCATGCTAGAGTAAAACTAGATCTATTTAGATTAGCAGCAGATGTTAACATTGATTACATTTCCAAATTCTAATGAAAGATGTAATTATCGTGTTAGGTCTCCTTTGCAACATGACTGCCACAAATACATAAGTATTACCATCAAGGTAAAGCATGGGGAAGGTTTAAGTCATATTTATATCGTACCTTAACCCACTTAATGTTATGTGTTCCTAAACTGTACAGTCTGAAATTAAAGTTCTAAGAGGTCAACAACCATCAGTAGGTTTTAGACAGAGTACAGATCATATTGATTTAGCCTTTGCAGTATTTTCCCTCGTGTTACATTATTCTATCAAAATGAGAAAATGGTTATTTTTTTGCATAGCAATTTTCAAATTGAAATGGAATGGCTTTCAGCACAAAACAACCCCAAAAAAGGATCTACACAAGAAAAACAGAATGTTCATACAGTCTGGTGTCATAGATGCTATTCTGTTGTAAGGCCAGACCAATTAAAGATACAGTACTAACTAAATACTCCCTATTGTCTCGTTTTAGTGACTCTTGACAAATAAAACCTCAAATCTGACGGTTACCTACAAAACAAGTCACATTCAGATAGAAACGGTTGGCTTTCAATGCTGTCACGACTCCTGATGAGTAACACTTGACCAAATGGCTTCTTTTCCTGCTCGATTAATGCTTCCAAATTCTGTCTGGGCTTAGGGCATTGTAGCAGTGCTGTTTTTGTTTCACTTGTCATCCTAACAGCATACTACATCCGCAGCACACCAAAGCCCCTATAGACGTAAGCAGTCAGAGCCAGGAATTGGCATTGGCTCGAAATATAACACTATGAATATCATAAAACCAGAGATTACTGCTTACTGCTACATTAAGATGCCTCATATCAACTTACTACAACAGGATATCCTAAAGGATATTCCTGCTCAGAGGCCTTTAAACAGGTTCCTCCTAAAAGTTCTCCAGGCACAGTCATTTGGTGTTACTGGTGCCTCAGGAAAAAAGGTCTTCATAAATACTTTAATGTCTTTCAACTGTCATTCGTTTTAAAATAGAACTCTACAAAAGCAAAAAAATAAAAAGTTTAAGTGTTTTTAAAAAAGGTAGCTTTTTATAAAATCCAGTGACAGAGCTCACTGTACGACAGGCTGTTCACAGTCCAGCGGTAAATGTGACATGAGTGTGCTGTCAGAAACGAGCCACCACTCGAATGTCTAGGCTTCCTGTTCCGTCTGAGCCTGCCCCAGAGCCCTGAGCCTGGTGTGCTCTCTGCTCCACTTGAATGTGGTGGAGACCAGTGTTGAAACTGGCACACAGCAAAGTGGTAGAATCAGTTGGAGACAGAGAAAGCAGCGGCCCGGCTCCATCCAGAGACAGCGTGCCCAGACACACTGAAATGATGAGGGCAGAGGAGCGGGAGAAATGGTGACCTTTTGAGAACGTGACACCAAAGTACACTGAGCGTATCTCTGTCTTGAAAATGTCACCTGCTGTATTCTGATCCCAGATCTTGAGAGAGCCATCATGGGAGGATGTTGCAACCCGAGCGGCGCCTGCAGCGGACGCGGGCAGAAACACACAGCAGGCTGTGGTCTGGAGATGGCCTCTGTACTCCACTACCTTACAGCCCGGCTGACGCAGGTCCCAGAGCTGACGAGGCACAGAAACAACGGCACTCAGAACAAAATACAAACGTCACATGTTTCGAAATTCCCCGCACAAACGAGGACACCATCAAACGTCTCGTCAGAAATGGGGACGTTAAGAATTCCGTATAATCTTCACATCTACACGGCTGGAAAAACTGCACAAACACCTGCCCTGTTTCTCACCGTGGCTTCACAGCCCTGGCCTCCAAAGCCGTTGCTACTGGACAACAAGTAGTGACCATTTGGAGAGACATCACAGTGGGTCTGGATGTATTGCTTCGCTGGAAAAGTGTTGGTTACCTGCCATGTGCGGCTGTCCCAAACCCTGCGTGCACACACACAAAAACGCCATGCTGCATGTTACGTTTCCCCCCGCCGGTAAAACACGGACGCCACAGCCATTTCATTTGAGAGTTTAGGCACAAACTCAAGGCTGTCTGCCACTAACTGGCCATGGGAGCACTTTGCTATTGTTGAAAGTGAGAAATAAATCAACAAGTAGGTGGAAGTTAAGAAAAATGTACAGTACAACCAAGAGAAAGACTGACAGTAAGACATTTCCAAGAAATGTTCTAAGAAAATACCGGTCCAAATGGGGCTTGGTTCACCTTTGACTGACTGATGGTCAGTCCATTTACAGAAAGGACTCATCACCCCATTCCTGATTCAAACTGTTTTTCTCACTGTGTTATCAGACTCACAGTCCCAGACTCACACCAATTGTGATAGAAAATAATTATCAAATATTAGCTCATTTACATATTTGAGAGCATGTTAATAGATATATTACCCCAAAAACAGTAAAAATCTGTACCTGATGGTTTTATCCTCAGAGGTCTGGGCTAACGAGTAGCTGGCTGGAACCCAACAGACATGAGTCACCTAGACAGACACACAGACAATGAAGGGGGGGGGGGGGGGGGAAAAAAAAAAAGGGAAAAGATTTTTTTTTTTTTGGAACAACAACATGCCTCAAACATCTCCATTGTGCTGTGAGTAAATAGTAGTACAACACTTACCAAGTTTCTGGAGATGTTGTGTCTCTGTTCACATTTTGCAGATTCTATATCCCACAGGCACATCCAGTTGTCACGAGAGCCAGTACACAGCTTTCTTCCATCTACATACAAAACAGTGGTTGTGGATTTTTGCAATATAAGTTTAATGGCTGGAAAAACTTTTTAAAATCTCTGCAGTTTGTGTGGTGCTGAGCAGCAGCCAGGAGAAAGTAAGATGTTAAGCTCTGAATGCCTCCAAGCTGCAGCTGGATCAGCAGAATAGTTAGGCACAGAGAATTTAAATGAAGCTTGGGTTGAAATAAACATAGCTCCAGAATTGGATAAATACAACGCTACAGGCACAGAGAAGACTTGGGTTCAATTTGATATGTCACAAGTCAATAATCTTTAAATATTCATGTGCGAGTGTTTTTCTTCTGTGTGTGTGTGTGTGTGTGTGTGTGTGTGTGTGTGTGTGTGTGTGTACCAGGGCTGATGGCAAGTCCGTTGACAACCAACTCGTGCCCACAAAATTCCTGAATAGGTTCGTCTCCCTGGTTTAGGTCCCACATCAGAACAGTCTTGTCCCGTGAGGCACTAAAAATCCATGTGCTACCTGGATAACAAAGCACCTGGAGGTTGGATGGAAGAAGAGTTTAGAGGCGATACGACCAGAATAGGCGGAAATGTGTAAAAGCTTCGAACAGCTCCACATCGAATCAGTTTGTGCACACACACACACACAGTAAAATCATTACCTTGGTAACCTCTCTGTTGTGACCCTGGAAGGACTGACATATCTGGCCTTGTTTCCAATCGTACACCACGACAGTCTACAAGGAAGGACACAAACACGTGTAACACAGTTGTGACTGAAATCTTAAGAGATGGCTATCTATCAATAGATGGGGTTGATGTTTGTAGTTGACGATGGTGTAATACAGTGTGGAGCAGGTGAATTCCAACATGGACAGCAACCCAGCGCCATCAGTTCACCAACGAGGCTGCTGACACACTCCTTCTCATAAACTGTCAAAGTAAGTCTGTTGTGACTAAGCTCTGAAATTCTCCCTTCTTTACTGTAACTGCTCCGTTTCAGCAGAGAAGTTTAATGAAAAACTGATTTTTGTTTTCCTGACATTTCTCATTGGGACTACAAGCTCTCCCACTTTATCTGCCAGTGATCTCACACTTCCCGTGATGATCAAAGAAAGAAACGTTTTTTGTTTTTTGCTTTGCATCCTACAAGGATACCAATTTGGAGTTTTAATCCAGCAGCACTTGGGCTTTGCGGAGCTCGGTGAGCTGCTCCCCTAGGCAAGCTTCATTGTTGCCGTGGTTGTGCATCATACCAGATCTAGCAATTAAATTGCAAACAAACCAAATCCTAAAGTTACCAGCAAAAATAATTCCAACAGCAAAGCTTCCAAATCAAACCATATAGAAATAATTTTCAATATTTGTGTTTTCAAAGGAAAAAAAAGTTTAGCAGAAGAGAAGAAAGAAGATGCAAAATAACACTTTGCTGTGGGCATTTGAGGCTCCAACCAGGCTGCCATAATCTGGGAGATTAAATTATTTACAAACCATTACTCCTTGAAGATTCTGCACGGGCCTGATAAACATCCAGGGTAATTTATGACAAACAGTGTAAACTATTAGTGTTAGCTGATACAACGTTCGTGATTTTACCTGGTCACTTCCACCAGAGACGCACAGATCAGGGCTGAGGTTGGTCACAGTGTTAACGGATCCATGATGGGCAGGTTCATACAGCAGAATCTGACTGTCAAAGGTATTATCAACCTTGTCCCCCTGAGAAGCCCTGTGTACAAACAGAAATATTATAAATGCCAAATCCATTAAAAAATATATTCTCACCGGTAAAACAGAAAGTTGATATTTAAGCAATAAAACCCCATTTCCTTTAATTTATTATTTTTGTTTGTGATTTAATGGTTTGTTTTGTTTCTGTGCCACATATGTTTTAGCTTTTATGTTTGGTTTTATATCCATGTTTTGGAAGTGAGGGGTCCAGCTGTAGTTTTCAAAACGAAACATTTCCCTATTCTTACTTCGACTGCAGACAGGAAGCAGGCCCCCTTACTTCTTGAACTAAGGTGTACCCGTGCTTTTAGAAGAAGCAGAGCTGAACAAATAACGCGGCACAGATGAGGACAGTGTATTTCAGGTGTAACAATCTCACCTGTAGAGGTCAGACCTCTTACGAAACTTGCTCTGTAGTTTGCCCATGTCTGCCTAGGAGCCTGCAGCCACACTGACACAGAGACAAAGACACCATCACAGTGGGAACAGATTATAATCTTAACAATTCCCCTAAAAACTAAATAAACAATGTTTTAAAATGTAAATAATGTCATGACTGGCAATATTGCAAAACCTTGTTGCTACTCTGCATCAGTTAGGTTCATTTTAAAAGCCCTTTGGTCACATAACTGCAACCAAAAACTAATAGTATACAATCTGGAGAAAACTGGGTGTTCCTTAGTACATCGCAGCCTTTTACCTTCAGCTAGATTTACTATCGCACAAATATCACTTTCTGACACACTCACGGTGAAGCCCCACCCTTGTTATCCAGGCGAACTACCAGCGACAGGAAGGGGAGACCTCAAATCCTATTAGCGCCGCATCATTACCGTTACAAGGTATTAGTCACTCAAAACACCTGCTATGAACTGTGCTGGCCGTCATTACGCAACCACTCCCCCGGTAGTGGGCTGCATAATGGCCGATGACTCCTGCTGCACCCACTCCTACAGAGAGCGGCAGAAAGAGGTCTTACCTGTTCCAGGAAGGCGTGGTCGCTAAATGGTGCTGAGGCTTTTTTCGTTAGCTCGCTGTCATGCTAACTAATCTTTATCTGTCATGCTAAGAAAGATCAGTGCACTGAAATGTGGATGTGCAGTCGTTAAAAGTTGACAGACTTGTTTCAGAAACGACAGCGAAGCGTTTTTTACAGACTTCCATGACGTTCTGATAGCCAAACTGCTTGAGAAAACCCAAGAAAGTATATTCCTTTAACTACACGAGACCCATCACTTTCTCCGTAGCGACCGCGGGGAGACGCTTTCTCGTATCTAGGCGAGGACGCTGTCACGTGACACTGAGCAGGAAGCCACCGGAAGCTCTGTCTTACATAATAAGAGCGTTTGTGCTCCACAGTTGTGCCTTCATTCATTTTTTTATAAGTCTGCTTCACAATAAAAATCCCAAAACAAGAGAGCTGGGACATAATTATCCTTACTGTCTACCGTTTAATACGGATAATTTTGTCACAATAGCAGAAATAATTGAATTACTGAAACTGAGTTATATCTATTGTTGGCATAAAAATAAATGAAAGAGAAAGGACAGAAAGAAAGACTGTGTTACACACACAAACTATAGCAACTTTAGCTTAGCACAGCACAACTTACTGTAGTTAACTAAAATACAACAGTGTTTATGCTAATGGATCGATTTATCAGCAGAAGATCTTTGTTATACAAGATTATGTTGAATAAAAGCCAACAGGTTCGAATGTTACCAACCTGTGGCTGAGCGTCCCTTCAGACAGCTTTCTGGTTAATCTTTACTTCAGATAAAGGCTGAGTGTCTCCCAGAAGAGCAGATAGGGCCAAATCCTACAGGTTCCTTGGACAGCTAAGATTAATATCTGGGAAAGTGTTATACTTTTCATGCCATTCAAGTCTAACAGTATCATAGAAGCTTAGATTTGTGCATGCCTGGTAGATACTGCTGGTAAAGTAAAGACCAGCTTTGACTTCGTGGGCTGAATTCAAACAAATGCAATGCATGCAATTAAGCACTGACTTAGTGGGATGCCCCCATTTCAATAATATAAATGGGCCACTTAGTTAGGTTACAATCAACACTGCTCAATACCTATGTGAGATGACCTCAATTCAAACTTGTGCAAGTTTGCCTCCCTACAATCCCACTTTTTTTTGTAAAGAAACTTTTTGTGTTCTAACATACTTTGCTGCACGTGTATTTCTCAACGTATACACAAATGGGTAAAAAATGGTCTGCTTCTGACATTTTGCTAATTTATTAGATTTCTCTTGGTGTCATCTTGCATATATGAGTGTATTCTTCTTGTTGTCAATCGTGAATATTTTGTGGGGCTAATAATTTTTTGCATTTTTAAACAATATCACCTCCCTGTGTTTGTTTTTTTCTTCAGCTTGTAATATGAAATAGCTCACTTTGTGTTTTTTGGAAAAAATGGGTGTCTTATTGTTTCAAAAGCAATCAGATATCCTGCGATCCATAGAACTATCAAACACCATTAGTGCAACCAGCTGTGTGTTCAGATTTGGAGGCTTAACTGAACCGCCAGACAAAGGTAATATCTAAACGACATGCTTTAACCCACTGCCAACACTGAACATTTGTTTTATGCAATCTGTGTATATTCCAACAGAATTATGTAGCATGTTATGTTTGTTGTACTCGTGGAATAGTGATTAATTAAGTGGATGCTAAAACAACAGATGAGACGAATTGCAGATGCGTTTTTTTGTCTCCTCAGGCTGGTGGAAAATTTACTTTGGAGTTTCCACCAATATGACAAATGTTAACCTTTTCCAAGACTGCTATTGTGCATGTGTGATATGGCTTCCAAAATCATCCGCTTGTAATTTTATTGCAAGATCAGTTAGAACGGCAAATCCTCTGTACGCCTAAAAAATTATGTAAATGCTTGTCGGGATTATGATTGTACGTCAATGCATGCATGGCTTCAAAAGGCCCTGGTTGTCTACTGTTGTCTGATTATGTGACACAAGCAATAACCCCACATTTTTTCAGTCTATACAGTCTTTTGAAACAGCACAGATCAGATCAAGAATGTTTTTAAATTGATTTTATATACGGTAGTCTACATTTGCCAGTTACATTTGAGAAGGCTGTGATTCAAATACCCTTCCTTTGTTTCTTTTCCTTATCTAAATTGCTACTAGAGTTCAAATGGGTCATTCAACAGACTGACTTTATGTAAGACCAAAAGACTTTTCAATTTGGTGCAGTATTACCATCTGCAGTTGTTTGAATAAAGCATATATTCCTAAGAACATGCTTTAACCAACATGTTGACCAATTCTTTTGCTTATGGACTTTTAGGAGTATTCAAGTCCTGAAGAATATCCCTGGTGGCCACTGTAAGTGCCCACTCCAGTCCGAGACCTGGATCTGATGTGGAGCTCCTCAGACAGCGCAAAACCTGCTCAACACAGTGGTCAGTGATGCACACCTTCAACAGAGGATGCGATTCAAGTTTTTAGTTTTAAAGTGCAGCGACTTTTTACAGTTTCCAATTGATGATGACTTTTGATTATTCATGCTGCAAAAGATGGCCTATTTCATCAGTAATTCTATCACTGTTATTCATTCCTTACAATTGGTTGAACAGTTTGCCTGGAAACTCAGAGGTGTTTTTATCTCTGCATGACTCACCCTGTCACATTCCTTATCTGACAGGATGAACACACTCTTAATCTTACATATTGCCATACAGCTGTATAAGTTAAGATGGATAACATCATTAGCAAACCATTTACCCCCCACTCTTTTTTACATGTTTTATAGCTTTTTAAGAGGCCTGTTTTTTATACCAAGTTTCATAAACATAACAAATTAAACGCATGTATATAAGATTATCTTTGGAAAACTTACAAGCCAACCAACATGGTGCCAACAATGAAAGTGCCATCACTGATAGAAGACTTTACTTAAAAAAAAAAAAAAAAAAGACCTTAAAGTTTACATGTTGCCCAAACAAGGCAACCAGATTGAAAGATTTCAGCTCCAGCCGTGTGAACCAGACCTGCGGTCAGCAGCATGACCACCAGCGCAGGTGGAGCTGAACGGACAATTCCGTCAGCAAAAACCAGCACACAGTGACCTTCACAGACTGTTCTGATCTGACTCCCACCCCAACGTGCAAAAGCCACCGAGGGACGACTGACATGGCTGTCTAAAAAGCTCGGTTTGGCGTGCGCGTTTCTCCTTTTACTGACGTCCACGGTGACTCTGCTGGAGCTGTCTGCTGCCCACTAAGCCAGAACAGCAGCCCAGGTTAATGTGAGAGCAGCTGCCCTTTATTACACCCACTCTCCACGGAGCTGTGGGCTCATTGTGTCCATTCACAAGCGCGTTCTACTCCACAGGTTGGGGGGGGCTGGGCTGTGGTGGGGTGGGGTGGTCAGAGGAGGAGGAGGTTTACATAGTTGTGTGTTTCTCTGACGCGACACTCCCCCCTGGTCGATGGGAGGTCGACGTCACCCTGCCGGCGGAGGAGTGGATGGCCTCCGTAATAAAAATACGCGCAGAGAGTTGAGGGGAAGGAGAAGGCTGGCCGGGAACGGGCGGCGACGCGGCGTGTGTGCCTTTTTCCTTCCCACTCCGCGGACACGCACCCCTCCTGATCCAAAACCGGGACGCGTTCTCCCCACCCACCCACCCACCCACGGTACCCGGAGTTCCGGCTGAGACGCTGCGTAACGAGAGGCTTCCTTGGGTTTTTTTTTTGTTTGTTTTTGTTTTGTTTTTTGTTAAGCAGACAGAGGGAGATAAGTGGACCGTATCCCAGCCTAGCGGGTCGGAGTGAAAGTCCGCCATATTCCGCCTCACCACGCCCGGGAGTGGAACCACTGGGAAAGAAACGGACAGCTTTATTCATGCGTTTTTTCCTCTCCGCCCTCATCCGCTGACGGTAACTTGGAAACAAGGGGGGGCTTTCGGTGGTTGGAAATAATAATCCACATTGAGGACTTTGGAGACGCTGACCGGACCCGGATGACAGGGCTCGAGGAGCCCACTCAGCTGATCTGTTGATCACATCGAGACACGGGGAAAAGCAACATTACGCCCACCGAGATCGGACAGCTATTCCACTCCCAACTGTTTCTCGGGCAGTGTGTTTTGAAGCTGCTGGGAACGGACACGGGGGCAGGGGAGGGGAGGGGGGTGGGGTGGGGGGGGGTTCCACTACATTTTCAAACATCTGATCTAGCCTCTGTCCGACCATCTGAACGCTGTCCAGGATTCCTATCCACGCGTTGCTCCACCACTGGCAGGCCTGCATGAGGACGTTATTTGGCAGGCCTCTCGTTGCCCCCCCATCCACCCCACACCCCCACCCCTCCTCCTCCTCCTCCTCCTCCTCCCGACGAATGTGAAATCTGGATGACTCAGTAAGAGGAGAGGGGGGGGAAAACAGAAACAAAACAAAAGCGGCCGAAAACGCGTGTTCCTGAAAAAAGGGGGAGCGAGATGACCCTGGAGTCCGTCATGGCGTGCTGCCTCAGCGAGGAGGCCAAAGAAGCGAGGAGGATCAACGACGAGATCGAGAGGCAGCTCCGCCGGGACAAGAGGGACTCACGCCGGGAGCTGAAACTGTTGCTGCTCGGTAAGATCTCCAGAGGAAAGGGGGCGGGCGATGCAAATCCCCAAATTCCTCTCTCACCGAATGGGGTTGGGGCTCTAACTTGGGGTGCCTACCTGGGAGAAGTTGGGGGGTTTAAAAATGGGGAGTGGAGCGCACGGATTTTGGCAGCTGAGGGAGGGGATGCTGTCCAGTGAGAGGCCTAGATAGCCTCCAGTGTTCCAACCACCTGATTTGAATAACTGTGTGCAGTTGCTTTTGGAAGAGGCAAACACATATTGCTCCCCACAGCTCCTGTCTTTTTCTTTTTTTTTTCACTTTCCCTGCTTTTTCCAGGTCAAACAACCTGTGCAGCCACCCCCCACCCCCCTCCGGCCCCCTCCTTTTCCTCCTCCTCCTCCTCCTCCCCCCCTGGGTGTGCTCATGAGTGTAACAAATGTTGGCCGGGCCAAAGTCTGCGCTTTATTGGGCGTAATCACAGGCGGTTTTGCCGCTGAACGCCGGACCCTGGCAATGATTACATGGCCGCTGGGCGTATGTGAATCTCAGGAGGTTCTCCGGCCCCCTCTGACCCCCCCACACAGAGCCCCAGCGTTAAAGGGGGGTGTCCAGTAAGAGGTCGACTCGGGGGGGGGGGGGGGGGGGGACACCTGTGTTTTTCCAGAGCGGCGTCAGGAAAAAAAAAAAGGGGAGCGGGTGGAAATTTGACTTGCAGCATTAGTCACTCTGAAGA